TAAATGTAACTACTTAAAACTCATAAAGAGCAGAGTAAGTCATTTATTTTATAAGAGATTTATATATTTTATAGATTAAGCTGGTATGCTTAACTTTAAAAAAAAACTCGTTAATAAATACAAATAGAGCTATCTTTCTGGTAATGAAATTTTTAATTGTTCATTTATTGCAATAAAAAATAAATTAATAAATTACTTGTACCGATCATTTAATAGAGATCTACATATATAATATATTGTCGAAAGGATATGAATGCGGATCTAAAGTTGTCATCTCCAGTCAACGGTAAAAGCCGCTTAAATTCTCCGAAATACGGAATAGATTTAGAGAGGTCAACGCTTGATGATATATAACTGGCTAATAATTTATATTGCAAAAAAAAAAGATAATGTATGACAATCATTTGCCTCTTCCTAGAGTTTCTTGTGTATTTTTTTTTTTTTTTTTTTTTTTTTTTTTTTTTTTGGATACTTTGAAAAATACTTTAAATCGAACATCATTGAATTGAATGCTAAGTACGAAATAAGTAAAAAAAAATTTTAATTTGAAGAATACAATTATTATTGGATTTATAAGTACAAAATAAAAAATTGTTATTTTAATATCCATAGTTTATATTAAGATATAATATTATTTAATATTAATATGTATATATTAATTTATTATTCGTATATGTAAGAAAATTCATTACTACTGGATTCTAATGTCTTGTATTACATGTTCCAATTCAAGAAAGTTTTATTTAAACAACCATTAAAATTTATTTAGCTTAAAATTCGAAGCAACTAATGGCATTAATGGGTACGTTAAAAAATTATTGCAAATCGCAGTTAGCATGTTTTCTCAAAAGTTTAATGTATTTCACACTTAATGTATCTGAAAAATTGAATTTCACTTTTAATGTTGTAGAATTGTATTCCTGAATGAAATTGTATTGCAAATTTGACGTACATGAGTGCACTTTAGTTCTGAATTTCCAGCAATGTTTTTTAATGCAAATGTGCCATCGAATACGATTTACATTTTGTATTGATTAATAATTAAAATTTTTTTGTTTTAATACAATATTCATATGAATAAGTTACCTAATGCAATATCAAAGAAAATACTTGAATCGGAAAAAAGAAATAAACTTCTCGACTTCTGTAATAATGGCTGGTGTTTCTTTTTTTGTTCAAATTGGCCTTCCATAATCATTGAGATGTCGAAGATTTATTTTCATACGTTTCCATTTGATAAATGCATTACAATAATATTCGTCTAATACTTCAAAAAATTATGTTTTTCAGGCACTTCAGTTCGTTATATAATAATTATTAAACATAATCAATTGAAAACCGAGAAGCTATTTTTTTAAAATATAGAAAATCAATTTCACAATTCATTATTAAATAATTAATTTATTCATTGTATATGTATAAATAAAAATATACAAATTCTTAATAGAGTACGTGCATAGACTTGCGAAAAATCTAATTATTATATGCGAAAATAAAGATTTTATAAAACCGTTGCATTTTGAACTTGCCAGCGCTTATGCATCAACAATTTTTTGCAATAAATTCAACTATTTTAAGATAGTAATATCATGTAAAAAGAAAATCTTAATTTTTAAAGTTTCTTCATTATACTTTTAAAGTATTTTTCAATGATATATAATAAATAAATCTCATATAATGAATAAATCTTCATATTTACACAGTTAATTTTTTAAAATAATAATATCCTTTCACTCAACGATTTTCTATAGAACTAACACTTGATATTAATTCTATTTATATTTATTTATATTCCAAATATATTGTTTTCAAATGAAATATCTGATATTTAAATGTGGAAACTAAAAAATACAATAAAAATTATTTTTTAAAAAGTCACAATGTTTAGTGGTTATAATATCTACGTATGACTGAAATATTTTTTAAAAATATACAAACCCATGACATTTATAAAGAAAAATGTTGAATACTTATAAATAATTCAAAAGAATTAAAAGTCATAATTGCAGAAAGAAGCTTTATAACACTTGGCATTTAAATATATTACTAAGTAATTTTTATCGATAAAAGAAATTAAAAAAAAATTTTTATAAAGTTAAATATAAAATTTATTAGTACAATATAAGATTATTATACCGCTAGGAAATAATTGATATTTTAAGTAAGACCTACATTTAAATGTTAGTTAGCAATGTTCAGCTAATAAATTTCTAATTGACGAATAATTATATACATAGAATTTGAATTGAAATTATGGTTATAATATATATATATATACAAATAATTTTATTCCTGCAATATTTATTAAGAAATAACAGATGAAAGGAAATTGAGCCGATACATACATATAAAATTCCAAGATAAATAACCGGAATGTATTAATTGAAATGAGCACGCACAATAAGGATGGGACACATTAGATCCTGTCACGTGCTACGTTTAACATTTGCCGTCTTCTTCCAATTCTTATTTATGCGACATCGAATTCTTGCATCTATTAGTCATGCATAATTAACAACAGGTACACCGACTAATTTTCGTACCTTCCTATCCTACAATCCAAGGTGCATGTTCTGGATGAAAGCAACTTGGCACCTTGGCCGCGATGCCGATATATCGAGTAAAAAGAAAAACAAGATAATACACAGTAATAAATAGCACTATTTATGAATATTGCGTATGCCACATGATGCGCAAATTTTCTTTTATTTATGTCTATGATTGTTTCAGATAATAATTAAATCGCCAGATTTTATATGACTATAATAATTCAATTTTTTTACTCTTCTCATTTTAAACTTGTATATTTAATAAAGTTCAATAGAAAAGCTGCATTACGTAATGATTGCACATTCATTATACTTAGAAGTTTGACTATGCAAAACAGTGAGTAAACTATGGCTCTGACGTGTAATTTAATATTATTTGAATATTCTTTGTATATATAATGTTTCACTGATACATACCGCAATACAATTCAATGTACAATATGCAATCTAAAAGTTGGTTTTTTAATATTAAGTTTTCTACAAGAAAATATATTAGTTATATTTTCATGATGGCAAAAATTTATATGAATATGTATTTTATTAGTTGAAGGGTAAAATGAACTTTCTTATAAAAAAAAATATGTAAAATAATTTTACATATACAGCAAATACAGAGCAAATATCAGTTAAATATATTTTAATGAAATAAACTTAAATAAAGTAAATTGACTACATTTTTACAAACAAATACTCATCTATATTTGTAAATATATTTTTGCACTTATATATATCTTAATAACGTAACTATCTTTTGATCATCACAAAAATTATAAAATTTCATAATACATAATTGATATTCAAGTGCATGCAATAAATTTTTTTTCTGTTATATATATATAATGGCGCATAAGATATAAAATACTAATCGTTTGCTTTTGTTATACTATTTACCGTCTAAAATCTTACATAATTTTACTATATCGACTGAACATAAATTTTCTACATACTTATTGTAATCTTTAAAGTAAAAGTTTCATAAATACTTCTATGCCATTTATCTATTCTTTAATATTGCTTTTGTTGTTTTATTACGGGATCTGCGTTAATATCATATTATTTGGCAAAATATGTTAAATTAATTTTACAAAATAAAATTTATAATATATAACATTTAATTAAGAAATAATTTAAAAAATTTTTAAACAAATATCTACAATATATTTTTCTTAGTAGCTTAAAGTATCTTTTAGTATTAGTTTAATAACACCCGTTATATTTCATTTTTTTAATAAAAAATCATTCCAATTAGTGGAAAAGTAGACTCTTATAAAACAGAAATCTGAGTAAGGGTTATAAAATGTAATTTCACTTTCCATTACGTTAGTAAATAAAATTACAGTTAGAGAAATTGACCGTTTTTTTTTTTTTTTTTTTTTTTTTTTGAAAATAGAAAACAGAAATTTTCTGATATATAGAGGCATTCATTATCATATACTATATCCACTTGAATGAACTTGAACAGATTTTAATCTAAATATAAAATTTAATTTCCTTGTTATAATAAACATGATTTTATTTTGTCACCAAAAAATCGTTTTTATTATTCCTAAAAATTTATAATCCTTGTTATAAATATATTTATTTATACATATTATTTGCATAAATAGTTATCATTTATTTAAATAATTCAATAAAATTATAATATAAAAATTATTATTATAAATTTATCATATATGTAATTAGAATGTAGAATTATAATATAAAAACGTTAGGGATAAGAATTTATTCAAAGAATTTAAATAATTTAACGCATTCCAAATTTTTTTCATAGAATAATTTATCTATTAATCAAAAGAATTATTGTTGAATTCCAAGGCGTGAAAATGAAATTTTTAATGATAGCGTTATTATTATTCTTAATTATCTTATATATTTCTTTAAATCTTTCAATTTGTTCAGCTAATCAATAAATTAAACTACATTATTGATAATTTTTTAAACTGGACTTTTGCTGTTTTGTGCTATAGTATTTGCAAACACTTTACTACAATCGCAAAAATTTTATATTTAAGAAAGATCAGCTTATAAATTTTTCCAGTTTTTTCAAAATCAAACATCACCTTCTACTTCGCCTTCATGTCGGAGGCTACTGAAGCTGCACCTAATTACAGGCCTGAACAATAATTATAGGCACATAAAGATTTCACGGTTAAACTCAAAGAGAATTAATTAAGATATTTTTATGGATAAATTATTTTATGGGTCATTGTCAGTCAATAAATATTGATCTAGAATAGATACTGTTTATTTACTGTTTGGTTTATATAGAAAAGCGCATATAAATCACAAATGAACATATAAAAAAATATATATAAAAATCTCAATAGTGCATAAGATAAATATATAAATATATACTCTGTAATTTATTTATAATAAATTAATTATGATAAATACTGAACATTTTATGAATTAAATAAATTATAATAATGAATGTTCACATAGGTATCATTCTTCCTAATTTCGTATGGTTTTTGTAAACGAAATTAAAACTTAATTATTCCAATCAAAAATCACATGAGCTACCATCAAATAAACTGTAATGGTCATGGTACTGCTGAATAATACTGGGAATCCCATTCTGCAAAAAAGGAAATATTTTATCACTTTCTTGATGCCTATATTTGTCAGAATATATTATCCATATAATGTGAATGACTAAAAGGAATGATATTATGTTAAACGAATGTAGGCTTCATTAATAAAAATACCTATACGAATTGAGGTTTACATTTTTATTTATATGCTTTAAAAAATTTATAAAAAAATACTAATAGCATACAAAAATTAATTCTTATAAAATAATACTTAATTTTGAAATATGAAGTTATTTAAAATCATTTTAAAACACATAAATACATAAAATAGAAATATAAAATTTATTAGTATATATATACATATATATATATATATATATATATATATATATATATATATAATAATAATAATAATAATAATAAAAATATTATAGATAATAATAAAAATAATGATGTATAAAAAGAGTTGACATACTATCAAATTATTTAGAAAAAAAATACAGCAATAAATTTCTACAATATTTAGAAAAGATTTGTTAAGATAAAATTTTTAATTAATATTATAAAAATCTTTCACTTTCTTAATCGTGTTATGAATCTTAACTATATGATTATGTACATAACGTGTAATATTTTTACTTTTATTTTTTTGTTTTTAATAGAAATATAGTTTATAAAATTGTTTGCCTTCTAAAATTTGTATTTATATATTATTTTTAGGCAATTTGAATTGTAGCTTATTGAATTTAATGTTCAATGATAAAATCAATTAACATTTACATAAACAACAATCATAATTGTACCATATGATAAAAAATGTATTAATGATATGTAATTAAAATAAACAAATAGATAATGCATATAATAAATTACTTTCCGACAAATCTTTTATCAAGCATGTATTTATTGAAATAATATTATAAGATGACTTTTAAATCCTTGAAGTTTAATGAATTATAAATATATAATTTTTATTAAAAATTATTGATATCACATAGCAAACGAAAAATTATAAAATATAATAAAAACAGAATCACTAATTGACGTCACTTTCGGTTCATGCTAGTGCCACTTAATTTATCATAGTTAAGTAATGAAAAAACTACTTATAGACAATATTTAACTTATAATCAAAGATAAAACATTTTTAAGAATATTTTTTTTTTTGTGTTAATTTGTAATATTTGGTAAAATTTTTAATAATGAAAATATTTGTAATAATCTGTAAATATTCTATTCTAACAAATACTTTTTAAAATTGTTAGTTAAAAAAAAATCACTTTTTTAATATTATCTATTTTATATTTAAATAAATATAAAACATTTAATGTCATGATAAAATAGATTTTTTTTTTTATAATTAATCATTAATAATAATGATATGTCGATTTAATAAGAATCTTTATTAAAATTTTAATTACTTATGATCTTTATTAAAATATTAATTACTTATAATTACTGAAAATGTTTTAACGTATTTTTTATGGATAAATACTAAATACAATTTAATATTACGTTAAGTGATAATGGAAAACTAAGAAATTAAAAGTGCGAAGCAAAACCACTTACTTGAAAAATTGCATAAATGTAAAGCGATATCCATGTTGTTCGGCGACACCTGCACATACAACGTTTGCAGTTGCTCCAATCAAAGTCCCATTCCCTGTGAACATTGCACCCGTTCATACAACAACATAGAGTTACTTATTCAGCATTACATTTTTCACAAGATAAAGATATTAAGATTTATGTAAAGTAAAACATATTTTTTGTGTTCAATTATCATTAAAAGAGATGTCTTTATATAGGTTAAACTAAAAAAAGGAATCATAAATTATACAATGTATAAACAAGTTTTTTTTATAATTGTTTTTAACTATATACCAATAAGTATCTTAAAAGTCACCTAATCTTTATTTATGAGGAAAATAATGAATATTCCATTGTAAATGAAATTTTTCATAAAACAATTAGTGTCTATATTTATTTTATGGTTGAATAACTATATTATAATTTACTATTTCTAATACAGTGAGTCTTAATAATAAAAAAAATATTATCGATAGTATGTAAACAATTATATGTTACTACAAATTATTATATTTAATAATATTTGATTCAATGCATTGCTTAACATTTATATATTCAAGAAATATGTAGATTATTACAAGATATTAAAATAGAGAAGATTTTAATTTATTTGTTATTGAAATAGACAAACTTTTATTTACCTCCCATACAAGCACCGAAAGCCAAAGCCCAAATAAGTGGCTGCAAAGGTAGTTGCAGTTTGCCATTTTCCGCCAATCCGGTAACAATTCTAATCATCATTGTCGTGAGTGGCACATTATCGACAAAGGCGCCAGCAATCGCCGACACCCACAACAACAACAAAATGGCCACCGCTAATCTTGACTCCTCGCTCACAGATAGAATAACAAGCTCCGTTTTTTTACCGATCCAAGCCATCAACCCAAGTTTTGTTAGAGCCTATAATCATTTATTCTACTTAAATTAAGAATAAAATGTTAATAATTAAATTATTATCACGTAATTATATACTTTATCAATGCGCGCTTATCACATTTACATATAGAACGTATATATGTATGAAACATAAGAGGAATCCTTTTTATCCAATTTCTATCGCGAAATTTCATACGTTTTTAATATGTCTTTCTTGTTATTCGATATTTAGTAATTTCATTTGATTTTAAAATACACAATCTACTAAAAATAATAATATCTCTAATCTTACCTCCATTAACACGAATAAGGCGGCGAAAAATAATAAAGTACTCCATTCTACGCGCGCCATAAGGCCATCAAGATCCTCTGTATCTGCTAATATAAGAAGCAACAAAACACATAGAAACGACGTCCAACCCAAAGATAAATTGAAATGTGGTAGGCTATGAAAAAAGAAGAGTACTATGACCAATATCATAGAAAATCCAGATTTTGCCAGCAATAATTTATTTCTAATTGGATACTGAAATAAAAAAGAATCATAATTTTTATAATTTTCATAATTACATTTCTAAAATACTGAAATAATGAAGAATGAATAATTTCACTTATTAAGATTACATCATTACTTAAAGGCTTTGATTCTTAAAATACTGACTTTTGCTTGTAACTCTTCTAATGTTGTTCTATAGTGATCCATTAAAACACTGCCAGTTATTAATTTTTGCTTCAATTGTTGTAATAAGCGCTTTACTTTTTTTATTAATGTTTCTCTCACAAGATTTTCTTCCTTACTGTAACTTGAAAGACTGGCTGCGGCTCTTTGCCAAACTAAAATTTCGTGTCTTAATTCCTAAACTTGAACAGTTTAATACAATTTATAATTCGCTCATAAAGATTTTCATGAAAAGTAGAATTTATGTAATAACCTGGACATCTTGTGGTTCATCAAAACGTAACACCTCCAAATTGCGAAAAATGAAACGAAAATGACCGTAAACTATTATTAAAACTAATATTACACCGATACTCATGTGGGCAGTGTAAGTGCCAAATCCAACACCCTACAAAAGTTTTTAAGCATTATTAATTTTCATTTAAAAGAAATACTTTACGTGATGTGTATTAAACAGAACCATAATTAAAAACTCGAAATAAATTAGGTATCCGCTCCCCCCCCCCTCCCCACCCCAAACTCTATTAGCAGTAGCGACATTACAATCGTAATATACGAGCATATTTATGACAATTAGATTTTGGGAAAATCGTTATAAAGGATTATGTCGATTATTGTAAATATTAACAAATTTTTTTTTTTTTGTTGATATAAATTTAAAAGTTTTATAAAATCTCTCCCGTTATTTCAACGAAGCAAACACATTATAATATGATTAATTCATTGCAATTAAATCACTATGATATCAAACTTTATAACAGTGAATTGTATTTATAGATCGTCGAATATTACACTTAAAATGTTTGACTAAAATTGGTTACCATATTATTAGCTTAAATGGGAATATTCTCAATCATATAAGAATATTGGATCAAACAAATTATGATAACATTCGAGTAAAATACTCTTCGATGTGCACCACAGCCATTTAAAATACAACTTTCTGCGCCTGAATACCTACCGCATTAACGACATCGCGATTCGACGCGATGATAACGTTCGGGGGATCACCGACTGGCGTCATAGCACCGCCAATATTCGAAAATATAACCATCGCCGTGAGCACCGGCACTGGATTCAACTGCATAACCTCGCAAAGTCGAATTGTGACGGGTGTCATCAACAGGACCGTTGTGACGTTATCCAAAAAAATTGAAACTATGGCGGTAAAAAAGCACAGTGTACTAACGAGTGGCCACTCTTGCCCACTGGTAATCTAAAATACGTATGTGATTTATAAATATTGAGGCTGACGAATTGGTGAATGTATATTATAGACAAATTGTTTGATTATTAAATATTTTGTGATTGCATTAATTGTAAGAATAATAATATTTAATATATAATCGATAATACGGGAGACGATTAATTTCGTATGATTGCCATTTCCAAGTTCATAGATAAAGAAATTTTGCCACATCTTTATTTAGATATGAAAAGTGTCGGTATTCAGTGGCAATTTTATTTAAGTTTTTACAATCATCTACGATGGATATGATCGATTGGCTCTTACAAAAGATGTAGAAATATCAATGGAATATCTTGTATGCTACTGCATACGACATCATTCGACAATTATTCGAGTTAATTTTATATTAAAGCAACTTTTTCATTTAATCATTTAATTCCCGCATGAAAATTAGCAAGCAATTATTAATTATTGTCAAGCGTTTTAATGAAAAAATTGTTAAAACCATGATATTACTCTGTCTTTTGAGACTCGACGTATTTAATGCCGTGGCAACAAATCCAATGGTCCAAAATAAAATATCGATAAAAAATATATTAATAATTAATGTGAGCACAAGTCAACTATAATTTTAAGTAAAAATCTTTTAATGAAAATAATATACAAATGTGAAAAAAAATCGAACTATGAAAAAGAAAGGACAAATGAAAAGAGCTTAACGTAAAGCAATTGAAAATTCTCATAATTAATTAAAATTAATTAAAATCTCAATGTAATATATTTCATTTGAAAATTTATTAGACACGATGTATTTTATCATTTTCTCAAACCTTATAAGCATATACTGCTAAGTAGTCAAAAACTCCGGTATCTGCTACAACTGCGACAAGTATCATCATGGAAAATAGCAGCAATAAAGTGTCAACATCAATCCACGATATGATTTCACTCATTGTTGGCTTCTAAAATTATCATGCAGTTTCCTCTTTTTTAGTATAATAAAATTATAATTATAAATAAATTATATGCACATAAAAAGTCGAGCTTCGTTTAATGATAATATCTTTAAAAATAACCTGTAATAAAGCGACGTTACCCACTACTTACGATAATTTTAATTTACTATATTAATAATGTTATATCCACGAACTCTCAATTACAAGAAATAAATATCGCGGGCACACATAAAGATATAAAAATGAGCGAAAAAAAAATGCTACAGTATTGTGACTTTTCCATTGCCATTTAAACTAAATAAATTCATTGAAGTACGTATAAATAATTACAGAATTTTTCATTACCTTATTTTGATTAAATGCTAGTAGCCACACTACCACTTTCTCGAAAGAGCTTTTAACAAATATAAATTATCAATGAAAATTTAATTTTTTGTATGCACGTAAATTCATTGTGCATATACAATACCAAAAAAAAATGATTTATCGAACGTTCGGATTTACGGAAACTTTTGTATTTAACAATACTTAAATATTACGATGTTATATATGATAAATCACTAAATTTTTAGTTAATTCACCAATAAAAGTTTTATTATCTCACATTGATAAATAAAAATTTTTAAATAAATTTTCATTTTCAATTATACGTATCATAATTAACGAAGAAAATTTATATTATATCAATTTATTATCAATTAAAAGTTGAAATCGTTAAATAATGATAAAACCTTAAGAAATAATTAGTACGAAGCTTAATGATAAATGAATACTAATTTATTATTTGTTGTTGCTCATTATATAAAGTATATTTCTGTATTTTCAGTCGGTCATCATACAAGCAATACAAATGATATAAATATTTTATGAACAATTAAAATGTTTTTGCTTTTAAAACAACAAATAAATAGATATTACGAAGCAATTTTAAGATCAACGTCTAAATTTAAAAGGAGAAGCAAAAAATTAAGAGACTTATTATTAAAATTATTGTAATTCAGGCGAAAAACTAATTACAATAGAAAGTATGATTTTTATTTCATATTTTTCAATCACACATAAAATGATTCGATCGATTTTTTTCTATTCTAAATTTCTTATCTCTATTTTATAATATACGCGCTGATTAAATCGGCATAAATGAAATTTCGTTAATCCATTAAATAATAGAATATATCATTGGATTAGATGGGAATAATTAAAAACACTGAAATGAATTACCTCGTGTAGAGCGGCTAAAATAGCCAAAGAACTAGTTGAAGCCAACATAGCAGCAATCGTCCTGTGAACTATCTATTCAATACATAAGAAACTAAAGGAAAAGAAATCGTTAAAAGATCAATAATTGGCCAAATTTATGGATACCTCGAATACAATGAGCACGTAGAGTCCAACTAAAACAATTGCTCCATAGGCTATTCCATCTTCTGCATTTATCGGTGATACATCGTAAGAGACAGTTAGAGGAATTGTTGTATTCAAATTTGTTTTTAAGTTTAGTATGAGCAGTCGATGATTCAATCTTTAATAAATAAATATGCAGATTTTTAAATGAAATTTTTTGTGTGCAAATTATAATTTGGTCAATTTTTATAGCTTCACTCGTATATTAGAAGAATCAATTCAATTTCCCTTTTCATTGTTCTATATTGGAAATGTGGCTTTATCCAAGTTATGGATATTTAGATTAAAATGAGAAAATTCGTTTGAATTGCGATACAACTGGTCTTTCGAATATGAATTACTTTACTAATATAACATTTTTTAAACTTATATTTTTCCTACGATTGTTATTTGCACGAATATTATGGTTATATGTAGTATATTTTTCAATATATCGATGTTATTTACACATAAAAATTGACTGACATAAAGAATATTCTAAGGAAAATAATGTATTAACTTTTCTGGGTAATTCTGAAGTTGAAAGAGTTTGGTTTGCTGTTGATTTGGAAATACGTCTATTAATTCGGGTGGGAATAAAGACAAAGTCCAGACTTCCGATATATTCTGTAGTTTTAAAAAAAGTAATAAGATTTTTTTTATTGCGATCAATCACTATATCACAAGGTATGGGATAAATCTCTAATTAACTCAATACCTTTCTTGACATGTAGTCTTCGCGCAATACTCCTTTCTTGGAATCTTGATCGTACATCTCCAGCCAAACTGACAAATAATATCTGGATAAACTGTTATTAACATTTTCCTTTAAATTCGGTAGTAACGAACCCTCTATTGTCACACTGATTCTTTTATCATATATACCGTCAATGACTGTCAGATCTAATTTTTTTTTTTTTGTTAAGGAATTTTCTTAAATTATTTATAAATTTGAATATTTTTCAAACTGAAATTATATATTTTATGTTATTTTATCGTTAATCAACTAAGCATTTTACAGTTTATAAATAAATTGATATTACACGATATACGTGAATATAAAAATAAGTAACGAAATTTATTTTTTTTTTTCTGATAAAATTCGTTTATTAACATTTTCATGCTTTAAAGGATAATCACGTATTTAAATTTGAGAAATTTAATATCTTTTTCTAATATAATAAATTATTATTAACATTTATAATTAGTGTATATTTAGTATTTACATAATACGCATTAATTAATTACACATTGACAGCTGTATATGAATATTCTCACTTTGTGTAATATAAAATGCATTGGTATATAATTAAATATATTTATGAAAATAAATATATCTATCGATTATCTTTATTTCGTAAAAGGATACTTTGTATTTCATTTTTTGGGACTATAATTTGATGAGGAATTTCATATTTTTCACTAGTGATCATTAATGTTATCTGAAATTATAGAGAAAACATAATATGTAACAAATATTTTTCTGTGCTTTTTCCCATTCTTTAATCAATAAAATCTTACAAAAAAAGCCATCCAGCAGCTTACAAGTAAAGCTAGTTTTATATATCGAGCAATGGGGCCCAATTTCCTTTCGTGGGTATTCAATTTTTCATTGGGATTGAGATATCCATCATCCTCTGTGCCACTCAGGGCTCTTAAAAATTAAATTATTATTTCATTAGTATACAATATCAATTATTACTTAAATATTTTATAAAATTATAATATTATAGTTTCATATATATATATATATATATATATATATATACTTAAAAACTGTGTACTTAAAAACTCATTTTATTAAAGATATCAAATCTTCATTAAAGTAAGGTAAAATAAAAATAGAATTAATTGAAAAGTAATAACAATATTTAAGAGTTAATGATATTTATAATAAAAGAGGAGCCGATGTTATATTATAATACATAAAATATCTTTAAAGAAAATTTACATTAATTTGAAAATTTTATTATTACTAATAAAAAATACTAATTTATAACTTAAAGTACAATGAATTATAAAAAATATTGTTTTATACTTATTCCAAAAACTATTTTAATAACCTAATTGAATTAGTATGTCTGTAATAATCCATCATTAAGGTTTGTTAAATATTTTAATTCAATTATATAAAAATATGTGGAATAAAATTTTTTTATTATCCTATCTGATATTTTCACTTAACTTAAAATATAATAAAATCACTGTTTATAATAATATACATAATATTTTATAAATATATATATATATATATATATATATATATATATATATAGCATTAAAATATAGAAAATGATAATATATAGCATAATAATTGAAATAATATTAAATGACCGTTATAATAAAGAAAAATACAATAATAAAGAAAAAATCAAACTTTTCTTATTTATTTAAGCAAAATTTACGTATTTTGTATTCGATTTTGTATGATATTTGTATGTATTTTCATATAATAGATTACTATGTTTGATATTCTTAATTTAATATAATTTAAAGACAATTTAATTAATACTAAACATTATACATTTTGTTCATTATATTTCCATTGGAAAACTTTGAGTATTTTTTATATCCACTAGTAGTAATCCAATAATTGAATTTAATGATCATTCTTCTTATATTAAGTAATTTCAATAATTCGTACCTTTCGATCACAAGATTAATATTCTAAATTTTTAAATATGTACATTATTATAAATTATTGACTATTCAAAATGATTATAATTTTAATTATACAAGATAAAAATTCTATGTAATATACAAACTAGGTATTATATTTTTTAATTATTATCTCTAATTTTCTAGATACTATGACAAAATATAACCGCCACGATGATATTATCAATTTTATTGTTTATAATAATATTCGAAATTTCCTAAGACTGGTAAGTATTTATTTCCATGATATATACAAAATTGAGAAATTCAAATCCTGATAATTAATAACAAAATACCTTTCTTGAGCTTTTTCATACTCTTTTTGAAAATAAGCCAGACTTGGATCGAGACGAATAGCCTCAGGCAATTTACTCCAAACCCTCAGCACATCCTCAGAAATATTCCCAATTACTGCCGATGTACTTGTGAATGACGCTGTACTAACACGTGAGCCTTTTCGCGTTGACTGTCGAGTTTCCAAGCCATCATCTTCGTCGCTCGAGTTATCAAACATATTTTAATTTTTAAGTAGCAACTAATTTTTATTAAGTCTATCTAGGCTTTGAAATAGATTGCGAATTTAAGAAATGATAAAGGGCCACGAGGTGCTTGTAATATTTACAAGCGTCTTTCTAGACTTCGACTTTACAGTCTACTTATTCTCTTCCAATGATCGGTTTCAACGATTCGGTCAACGACTACTCAACTTCTTAGAATGCGTTCGTATGATTATTGAGTTTATGATACATGCGTTGTTGTTAGTATTAGTAAGAGAATGAGAGAAGGGCCGAAGCAATCGACTATTCATATAAAATTTTCGAGAAGAAATATTATGAAGAACGATGATTTTTTCCACTTTTAAACTCGAATATTTGACAATGAATTAATTATTTTTCTTATGAATATTACAAAAATCCGAACCCTCCTTATTCTATAAAAAATAAACTATTTTATTTTTTTTTAAATAAAACTATAATATGTGTATTAAGATGCATTTAAGATAAACTCTAAACCAGATTAGAAATGTTTGATGGGCATGATTCTATATAATTAATAGATAGAAATGTTTATTTGAAAAAAAATTTAAAGTGAATCGAGTATAGAATCTTGGTAAAAAGCTTTAAATGTTAAAAAAAAATTTAAATCGTAGTTTTCCATGCGCAATGGTAACTTGATGATTCAACGTATATGTACGTTGTCTAAGAAATTAACACTCAAAATATAATTAATATCATAGAGGGTATAATTTGACAAAAAATTATGGTTCCAATATGTTATTAAAATATCCTCTAAATTTTTAATTATTAAAAACTACAATTAAATAAATATTGCATATACAACTATATTTCCTTACAATTATTTTCAAATCTTAAGGACAATGATTTGAACGCATATTACATTTATATTTAATATTTATAAATGTGAATATAGTGCAAATATTTGAGTAAAACATAAATTTTTATGATAAATCTAAAATGCAAAATATCAGACACTAACAATTTAATTTGCATAATTTTATTTTACTTATTTTTTTACAAAGAAAATAAGAATGGTTTGCTAATTTAATGAATGATTTAATTAAATATAATAAAATTTATAACTAATATATTGCATATCTTTTTCTTATTCCAGATATTGTTTACGTAAAACTAGTATACAATAGAATTAATGAAAATGAAATATTTCCTTATTTACATGTATTTCCAAGAAAAGCAAGTCTTATACATATTTGTCAAAAATAATGTAATAAATTAGTAAATTATTAAAATCAAGATTTTAAATTGTAATTCTATATGAGCAAACATTAAGCCAATATACAGTAACACATTGAAGTAAAAATAATTGTTAATTAACAGTGATTTAATATGCCATATTTAATAATGTTTTGAATCATTTCAGAATAGGATTTACCAATGCTCTTACTATAATAACCACTACAATTCCAACTATTAATTTATTTTATATGAAATAGAAAAATCTAAATTCATATTACTTTGCAGAAGTTATGGATCAGCTATTTAAAATAAATAAACAACAATGAATTTTGTTAAAATAAATTAGATAAATTTATATAATGTAAAAAATAGCTAATTCATAGCAATAATATTAAATAATTTATTATTGATATCGAAATGAAATATATATATATATATATATATTTATTAAAAGTATATAGAATTTTTAAAATCATTTATCATTGCTTATTGCGATTGAAAAACCATTGTTTTTCATATAATTGTTTCGTTATAAATGAAATTGTAATAATAAAAGAGTCGATATTAGAGCGATTGAAGATATTTTACATATTTCATAAAAGAAAAATATATTCGATCCTTATGTCCTGCTGATTATACATTTAAAGAAATTTGTTCTATACTCATCTACAGGTATGTGTCACGTGTGTTTTTTGCTATTTAATCATTGAGGGAAAATTATCGCTCCACAAACAGCAATATAATACGAATTTAAAGATTAACGTGAGGTGGAAGTATAATATCAAGTTAAAGTTTAAAATGAAGTGAGCAACAATTTTCTAATAAACTTTCTTATTCTGTTCTATGAGACCATCACAGTCAAATTACCGTCAACGATATATGCCACCTCGTTTTGCACTCTTCTCGCTCATCTTTACACTTCCCCTTCTTTTATGCTGCAAACAGAAGCGTCTAGTTGCGTTGCAAGTTTAATGTGTCAAGTTTAACCGATCAAGCGACTCTTAGGCTACATAACGAAATATACATGATTCTTTCGTTCAAAATTATTAAGAATCACACATTTTGAAATCATGTATTTTACAAGCATATTTGTTTTATTACTTGCCATCATCTGCATTTCTGGTAAGTTTCTTACCTTGCAATCATTTTAAACGTTCGATAATTATCCATCTGTGCAAGATAGTGTTACCGTTTGAATGAAGAATAAAAAAACAGGAAAAAAAAAACCAAAAAAAAAACAGAATAAAGATATTGTGTGTTAGAACGGAGTCATTGCCAGATGACTAGAGGCGTATTTACTATGTAGATATAACATTAAAGAAATGAAAAATTATTAAACGTCGATGCCTATACAATGTGGTTTCTGTTTCTTAAAGATGCAGATGAAGTCGAAATAAAGTGTACGCCAAAAATGAATTTCAAATTTTACTGTAACACTTGCTGGTGCTCGGAAGAAGGGACAATACGTATATGTACGAAAAAATATTGCCCAGAGGATATATTCAATAAGGACGGTACATTAAAATCACCTCCAAACATTCATCAGAAAATGAAAATCTTACCGAAAGGAATCAGCAATATACATAACTTATGATTTTTCTAGTAATAATCATACATTTGGAAAACTTATATTGTTTTATTATTATGTTTAGCATTTAACATTTACTTCGAAAGTTTTTCAATCGAAGGATTTTCAAATATAAAATATCAAAAGTTTGCAAATATAAAGATGTTTATTAATAAATTTTATTCGATAGAAACGTAACATTGAAATAACAGCTATTTTATATAATGTTTAATTATTAATTTATTTCGAACTATTGCATATTATATTTCAAATGCGTAAAGAACATTATATTGCCACAATTGTTTAAAAATTTAATAAAGTATTGCTTATTATGTCAGCTTAGAAGATTTTTTGAATTATAAATAATCGTAAAATTCAGTTGAAGGTCTATATAAATGGTAGGTAAAATCATCGTTCATGCGGAAAGTGATTGTGCCGGTGATTATTGTAAATTGAAATGATAAAGAGCTAATGTGCATTAAATATTCAGTATAAATGTTTTATCGACTGTGCCAGTACTAACTTAAGTGATAATTATAAAAATTATTAGAACTAAATTATAATATCAAAAAGTGTTTGTATAAATATATTGATATAATCGTTATAATAATATCAAATTATGAAATTCGAGCTGTGGTTAGTTCATTGTTATTTGTAAAATAAAGAGGAAATGATAAACCACACTTAATATACATTTAATACTTTTTTCGACAGAAACAAAAGTTCAATATCTAGTTTGCACATTGTTTTATTAAAACCTACATCGTAATATTGAAAATTCAAATGAATCATACAATAATTAGAATAATTCTGCGAATAATAAAATTTATACCAATATAGTTTCTTTCAATTCTCTTACTTTGAATAAATCAATCCATTAAATAAATCAATCGTTTCAATAAATCAACCCATTAAATAAATCAATCCTTTAAATATATTTGTGTGTTTGTGTGTGTGCGTGCGTGCGTGCGCGCGCGTGTGTGTGTATCGTGGAAACTTTAGTATCATAACGCGTTATTAAATTTCTATCATAAGTAGTTTATTTGAAAAATTTTTAATCAATACAATGCTCAAATCTATAAAAAATACTGTTTAATACAAACTACATTAAGAATTATAAATGTATTTAAACATATGAAAATAACGAACAAAATAATATTGATTATCAATATTATTATGTAATAATGAGCTTGTTTTCAGCTGAAAATATTGAATCATAAATCCGAGGATTTAATGCTAGAAGATTTGAAGCTTACCACAGATATCTCCACTAATAAATCTTACAATTCATGTTAATTAAAATTCCTATCATATATGAAATTTTGATTAAATGGGGAAAAGACAATAATTAGCATTACGTTATGCGTAATAACGTAAAAATAATTTCAATCGTAGATAAAAAGTTATTTGAATTTCCCACATTGACCCAATGTCGATAACAAGTTTGTTAAATTAGAGTTTGACCTCCAGATGGCGCGAGAATCTCCAAAATCAACACTCTTAAGAACCGTTAGCAGCGTGTTTTTATTCTTCTGCAGTAACAGAAAGTTCCATTCTCCGGACGAGTGCAACTGCACCCGATTCATCCAGCATCTTTGGCATTAGTGACGAGAGAATCGTGCACGCATTGTATGAAAAAGAGTAAATACGACTGGCATCGCACGAATCATCCACTTGTCAGTTACGTGTATGTATGTACAATATCGTGGCTTATCATTTACAGTATACATGTGAACATTGGTTTAGCCGCGCTGCTGCTCAACATCAATTGCCATTATTCAGTTTTTCGCAAAAATGCTCGATATATACGTTCCTCACCGCCTGCCCAGATGATTTTAGTCTCAGTGAGCGTTGCACGACGACGTCATATTTTTTCAAATTGACGATTACGTCCGGAGTTTTTAAAGAACGTATTTTAAATGTAAAGAAGCTGGGTAATTGAATTAAAACGTTGTTGTAACTAACTTCTCGGTGAGAAGTGTTATGTATGAACTCCTCATGATATTGCTGCTGTGGCTGTCAAATGTGTACGTCAATATATATTTCGCATGTGTGCATAAATTGTGAGTGTTTTTTAACTTGAAATATTCAGTGGCTGCTTGGGGAAGGGGGGACGCCAATATCTTTCAGACTCGATATTCTATAATTTACTCTGTATATTATCCATTGAAAAACAAACAAACAAACATTAAAAGCATCTGAGAATACAACACGTAAGTAAATTGTGAAGTGCGCAGCACTGTCTGTGTACATTGGGCCTAACCTAACCTAAATCATTTGAAAAAAATCATTAGCAAAACAAACTTTTCACTTAGCATAATTAAGCTAGTTGAGAATGATTCACTAGAGCTTGGATTGTATAGATGGATTGGATAGCTGATATCGAATGCAGATTAATGCACATCACGAAGAACTTGTGTCCTCGTTTTTAGCGCTTGCAACTGAGAGCTGTAAATATGTTGCAGAAGCGACTTATTGCTAAAGCATTCTTACAAAGCCCTTTCCAATTGTCTACTCTCACCGATGTAATTAAAATGTTTAATCTGCATCCGTTATCCAAAAGGCCGCATTGGTAATAAATTTCACTCGACCTTAATCCGAGTCACAACATAACCTAGAAAAACAGAGTATGCATTCAATTAGCTAAAACAACGGTTAAAGTTTCAAACTTCCCTCCTCCCTGCACCATTCCTCGCTTCATCTTTATTCTCCTATTCTTTACCCCTTTTCTCATTCTCACACACACACACGCACACATACAATTTCTCTCTCTCTCTCTCTCTCTCTCTCTCTCCCACACTCCCACCCACTGCCTCACTCATATCGTGTATACAAGTAGATACATCTTTCTCATTCTCTCTCTCTCTCTCTCTCTCTCTCTCTCTCTCTCTCTCTCTCTCGCTATGTAGATATATAGATATGTCTTTCTCATATTGTCTCTTATTCTGTCCTCCTCTCTTTCTCGCTGAAGCAACTCATTTCACATTTAAAATTCTACCTCAGCCTAACCTACAAAAGTCGTAGGTCGCGCGCGCGCGCAGAGGCAATTTGCGCGCAAGCGTCGCCGTTTCGGGGCGCACGCACGTTATTGACATTTCGCCGTAGGGAGAGAGCAAACGAGCGAGAGAGAAAGAGAGAGAGATCAAGCAAAAATCGCGCTTAGAGGGGAATGGGAAAGAAAGGAGATACGAGATGGCTAGACAACATAGCTCGAGAGCTCCTGCTCTCAGCTGTCCGCGGCAGCGTGAGCTCGCGTCGCCCACGCAGTCTCGCGTACCCCATCGTCGAGGGTTCACGAACTCGTCGGGGAGTGCAAACTCACCACGGGGGGAGGGTCCGTCGGAGGTTACTTAAAGCCGCTTTCACCGAATGACTCTGTCAGCTGCCGTTCTACCGGATCCTTAGGCTCGGCTGCTGCTCGACCGAGTGCTCGGAGCCGCCACTCCTCGGACCTCACGTAAGCCCACTCCAACTCCCCGTAACGGAAATTCTCTAGATTGCCCTGGATAGTGTCTGCTCGGGTCAACCAAGACGAATGGAATCGATAGTGCGGCACTTATTATCAAAATAAAGCTGAGTTTTTTACATACATGCGATGCTACAGTCGTACTTTCCTAAATTTGATAGCTTAAGGGTTGTAATTGTTGTTAACGAATACATTCCGTAAATTCCGACCTTGTACCGGGTGTGCTGAATCTTCCTTTATTCTGTGCATTTTTTATTGCGTGCCTGCCCCGATTGCTTAATTGTTCGTTATAAGCGCCTTTTATAATAATCAAATTTTTAAGACTCAATGAGATACATAAAATTGTAGATAAGAGATAAGAGACGTTATTAAACACTTTTACGGATAGTGTTTCGTGCGTTGTAGCTTTTATGTGATTTTAGTGCGGAATTGAAGTAAAACAAATATTTGCTGCTCCTTGGAATATGATACATGTCACGATTATTATTAGACAACATTGTTTGTACATTGTGAAAAATCTGAAATACGACATTAATCCACTTTAGTGTTACGAACAATGCTAAAGTGTGATTTAAAATCAAATTTTTATCGACGATATGTTAAAATTTATTCCTATATTATTCTTATATATGAACTGTTATGTTTACAAAACCAAATTCTTTAAATGCCGTTTACTTACCTCTTATCCTTCTTAATAATCTAAATAATAATCGATATTTTCATAAATTTCTCATAAAGCTTCTCTTCTTCATTTTTTTTATTTGTTTTTTATTAGTTCTCATATAAAATGTTCTATCGGAATGTTAGATCATGCTTCAACAACACTTTTTGAATGATGCTTCCCGACATTGCTAAGATGTTACTTTTTGCTTATCAGCTTTTCTTTCTCTGGCCATATCAATTTTTCAATCATAAAGCGAGGCTTTGGAAATTAATTCCAAAAGTATCGATCGCAACGCACGCAACTTCTACTATTTACTCTGACGATTATTTACTCCCTCGCTTGTCTTACAAAATACACGTACAGCTATGGAGAAAAATTGTTGGCCTTAGTCGAATGGTGATTATCATATTATAATCTTCAGGTTTTTAATACATAATTACATGTTTCGATGAAAGCCATTTTTTTGTTTTCATTTGATCTACTCTGGAACGAAGGTTATTTTTTTGAAAAATTAAATAGCAACTAATGGGAAATATATTGAAAATTGAAACATCAGTAAAATCATCGACATTAATGGTGATAAAAAATTTACTGAATCGACAAAACCAAGAGATTGAAATTTAAAGTCATAAAAGTAAATATTTTGTTATGCTTTAGTTTCATAATTACTTCAATTATATTGTGTACTTTTACAATTTTCAGTTGTCTCAAATACAATTTTACAGCTGCTTGACATTTTAGTTTATACGTAACATTAATTCTTTGCATTAAATTCTTTGCATATACAAATGGTTATCTGAATTCAAACAAAAAAAATTTCATCCGATATATCGATCGAAAATATATAATTTATCAACTTATAGAAACTTTTAAAGCTTAATATTTAGAAGGAAAATAATATGAAATTCCTATCTTCTAATACCGTAACGATTCAAAATAAAATCATTTTTAAAATCATTTCTCATTGATTTATGTACTTTTTATTTATGACAATTGAAAATAATTGTATTTATAGAATATATGAAGAATGTTAAACATTTATATTCCGAGGAAAAATGAGAAAAATAATTCTTCCACATATATAATATATATATATATATATATATATCTATTTTTTTTTTTTAATACTTTTAAATCTTTAAACATAGAAGATGATTTAGATTCGAGTATTCATATTAAATACGTGAATAACAAATTAAATTATTCAATGTTTAATCAATTTCTTTCATTGTACCGAATAAATTTTTTGAAGAACTATTATGAAAAATCAATTTAAGTAATGTCGATAAATAATCATAATATGTACATTCGGTAATTAGTGGGTTTTGTATTTATACCCAATCCTAAATAATAAACCAAAAAATAAAAGTAACGGAAAATATCTATAAATTTATTAAAAAATTTATGTTGGATGTAAATAAAATACATAAGCAAATATAGAAATAAATTTTTAGAACCTGAAGTTTTAATATTTTATAAAATTTCAAGCATTTTTCACTACGGATCTGTTGAGCTCCTATTGTTTAAATGAAAAAAAGATATTTTCTAACGAAGCTTTGAACGATCCTTTTGATTTTAGATAATATTTTGCGTCAGACACGTAAATAAATATGAAATAAAAAAAAATTATATTTAATTGCTTATTCTTACTTCATTCTTACATGATATTTCACTTACTTGTTTTCAATTTTAAATAAAAATGCAAAATTAAATTATCTCGCTAAGTTAATGTCAATAAATATTACAATTTTCAATTTAACATTAAACTGCTTGTAAGTGTATATAATAAATATTATGATAATGGCTTTATTAACTGAAGGATTATTTGTTTAAATGTAACGCATTATAATAATTTAAAGCCTTATACGCGTGTTTGTAATTTTAAATTATGCACCTTCAAATCCTCTGGATTGCAAAATATTTATTAATCCATTATCAATCTTATCGGTTAACCAATTTGAAAGTGTGTACACATTTTATAGAATCGCTCCAAGTGCACGCGAAATATTAATGAGGAAAATGAATCGCTAACATTGTTTTCAGAAATTGCAAAACATTCGTTACGCAACGCAGCGTTATTACAGCATTGCATTTAACATAAAACTAAATCAACGACAAACGTCCCACTGGCCTGAACTTAAGTAAACCTCGTAAAGGATTGACGTCGAGCCACGAAATCCGTGACCTACAAAACTGCAAAATCACTTAATAAACGCTCGAATTTCTCTTAATTGTTGCGTCGAGCTGACAGCCCGTTTGACAAGCCTTGCAAATCATATTTTAAAGCGCGAAAGCCGCAGCTCGAACGTCGTTACAACGATTAAATAATAGAGATTTTAAAGCCAATGACATTATCGGTCCAGCAATATCGGCGATCACGTGCCCCCGCCTTTTACAGCCGCAGATACACATCCCTCTGAATCTCCGCTAGTTTATTACGCAACTAGCCAGCACCGAGACTCATGCGCGACTTAATGATTTTTCGCCTTTTCATTTGCAGAGTGCCGGGAGATAAAGAGCAAAGAGCAAAGAGCGAGAGAGAGAGAGAGAGAGAGAGAGAGAGAGAGAGAGTGAGAGAGAGAGACGGAGAAAAGAACGGGGAGAGCTCGAGTCGAGGGGGCCGCTGAATAAGAAAGAGGCAGCGCCGGGGCTAACGTCCGCGACGTCTCGCCTCGTCTCCGACTGCACCGCTTGTAAAAAGTCGTCGAGGCGCGGTGTGGAGAGCCCAAGAAAGATGTGAAATGCTGAGCGTGGACGAGGGGCAAGAGGAGACGCGATCCCCTCGCGATACAACGACCGAGAGCCTTCCGGATGCGAGAATCGGCGCGCTGCCCTGGGAACACCTGGACCTCGCCACTCCTAAATATGAAGCACATGCCGGTGGAGTATTGTGGCTGCACTGCGATGGACCGCAGGTGCGCCGCGCCCATGATGCCGTGGATCATCAACGAGATAAAGAAGAAGAACGTGCCGCAGAAGGTGAGTGGACGGGGTTCCGTGATTTTAATTTCGCGACGGTTCAATTGTATTGCCGAGTCCCAGCGATTCGACGGAACGTACTGGCTCTTTCAATTTGCCGACGAAAGAGATTTTTTTAATCGGTTAACGTCGACGTACAGCTAATACTTGCAAAATTATTTATTTTATAGAGATTACAGAGAGATACAGTGCGCGATTAGCGATTAGTCCAAGAAAATCATTAACTAACTATTGCTGCTTATCGCTCGTAATTGATATTATTTTAGCGGAAATTGACCAGATCCTTTTATTATATTTAAAGCGTTTTAATGCGTGGGCGTGCATTTTCGCATTAAGGAATGCGCAATATCGGATGGCTAAATTAGCAATTGCATTTAGTAATTATGCATTTATGCATATATATGAAATGAGTGATGAGAATTGCTGAAAGAGACAATATGAGTAAAGATATTAAATTATCAATAAGTAACATATTGATTAATGGTAAGGCAATGTCACGAATCATGAAAGTATTCTTGACTTAAAATTTGAATTGTCAAATATTAAATTGACCGAGTTTCTTGCTTCTTTAAGTAAAAAATTTTAATAAAAATTATAATATTCAAGCACTTTGTCAATTGTAAAATTACAATAGATTTTAACAAACTGCAAAAAAGAAAAATAATAGAACTAAAATTTAAATGACATATATTAAAATTTAGTAGTAATTAAAAATTTAGACTTAAATGAAAAATTTCATATTTTAAATGCCAACTAACAAATTTCATGTAAGCAGATAAATTAAAACAATTATCACTATTGTTAAAACATAGAAAATTTTTTAAGAAAATAAGAAATATTTGTATAGATATTGGAATTTTTAATAAGAAAAATAATGTTAATTTAATTTTAACAAAATGATTTTGAATTTCCTTTGATACTCCATGCAATTTTCAAATTTTACAAATAATACTCTTAATGACGTCACAAATTATGTTCACCCACACACAAGCTTCGTTCCTTCAAATTTATGAACAGCTTCAAAGAAGTAATGTATAATTATTTTTTGCAACTAATGTGCACGAAGATTTATATTTTTTACAATATATTTGTTAACAATATTTATACCTATTTATACCAACTAAAGTACTTTTGTCATTTTGTTATATTTATATAGTTATAATTATATAGTTTGTTCATTAAATGTTAAACTAATATTCTTAATTGCTTCTCTATACAATGACACATGAACTTATTAGATGTGCAAACGAATTATGTGAAAATTATCATTAATAATTGAAAATGAAATGACTATGCTAGATTTTGTATAATACAAAGGATCTTTTTGATAATTAATACCTCACTTAATCGGAGTCCGAAATATATTTAAAAATATTGATGACATATTAATATGAAAGAATTTAGTTCAGTATAAAATGGTATAATAAAACTTCTATTCTTTGAAATCAAAATCAAAATTCAAAGTAATAAAAACAAAATGTATTATAATATTGAAAATGTAACGGATACATGTACCATATGCAGATTTTATAGACTCTTGAACTTTATAGTCCTCGTAAGCATGCCATTTCCAATATAATTTTTATTAAAAACTTTAAAACCAATATTGGTGTGCCTCCAATAACTTCGGATGTTTTGTAAGTTTTATTCGATTAAATTGTAAAACATTCTCAACTCTATTCCCGTATATTTTGCTAATAGTTAAAGATTTTAATAGTTTAATAATACTCTTTTTCAACGATGTTTTTCGATATAGAAATATACTCACTGCAGCGTATAGATTAACAGTGACTTATGAGTAACAATTGAAGCCAAAGAGTACACACGTTTTATTTCGGATCAATACTCTGGACTTGTAAATATAATGAGCTTTCAGCTTTTTTTCTCCAATCAAAGTCCAATGTACTCGTCCTTTTATCCTATACTAATCACGAGTGTTTCTTACGACTTCCGAGGAGTACTTTATAATACATCACACAAAGGTGTATTCACGAAGGTGGTCGTGTCCGTGCTACAACCTGTGGAGTCACGCACGTACCACCCCCCCCCCCCCCCCCCCCCCCCCCCGACAATTCTGCTGTTATTTCCATTTGCGCTGCCAATCCCACAAAAGTTTTAAAATAATTTCGCAAGTGCATGATAATACTAATTGATACTATATTCCCTTATAAAATGGGCACAGTATTCTCACATTATTATGATTCTATTATTTCTCTGGTATTTTTCATATTATTATTATTATTATTATTATTATTATTATTATTATTATTATACAGTTAAGAAATTATTATTTAATTTAAACATTGAATTCGATAAATTTCTATTTTACTATTTACAATAGTCTAGATGATTAAATGACAATCGTTTAAGGATTAAATATTCGTATTTATTCGGTATTTCGTGCTTATGTCGATAAACATTTATTCTTCATACTCTTCATTTTTCTGTGAAATAAGTATATAAATATTTTAATAAAAATTTAATAAGTTTTCCAATAATATTCAAATGGTTCATAAAATTATTAATATATTACAATATATAATAGATAATATATAATACTAATATATTGTATTAAATATATGGGATTATCATATATTCACAACAAACATTTTTAATGTTTATTTTTACACTCGAATGCCCGTATTCGCTTTGAAATGATATAAAAGATATCAATGCTTTCAAAGAATTATTTAAACCTTTTCTAGAATATAAAAGTACGTACAATAGATACATGGAGGTGAATGAAGGTATTATGATTCACGTAAATAACTTATTTGTCTCAAGTTATGAAATGTAATTCTATCACTAATTATAATAAGCCCGTAACATTTAATTTGAACAATGATATTATTTTTATGCCGTGGCGGTTCTACATTTTCTGCATTGCATGATTCTATACAAAAAGTTTCATGTTTTTTAAGATTCATAACTGTACGATAAGTTGAAAGAAATCTTTTATGATCCTTCTTTTACAACATTCTCAAATAATATAAGATTTTATAAAAGAAAAATATTTTTATAATGTTATTTTAACAAGACTGTTGGAGAATTTTTATCCTTCAATATAACTTCTTTGCTTATATATTAGTTTTTTTTTTAATCAATGTTAATGAAATATGCCTAAAAGGACCATTTATAAAGTACTCTTGTGCTATTCCCGTTACAAAAAATTTACAGTCAATTTCACTCAAAGATGATATAATTTCATAAACATTTAAGATTTGGTAACAATAAAAATTTCAGTCTGTTTACTGCAACTGTCTATTGTAATTAAGAAACCTGCGAACACTTCGATTACACAATTATAAACTTTTTAATATTATAAATAATAATGAAAGAGTCTTAATTACAAGCTAAGTGACATTATAGCGATATATAAAAATATCGAAAGACGATAAAAAAAAGTAACTATGGAGATAAAACATGAAATACTGAAAAACCATTGCGATAAGGCAGGATAAAAGAGGTTTGTACATAGAAATTTATGAAAGCGGATTACCGTACTTGTTCGTCTCTGTGTATGAAAGCTTAACAAACCTGTTATCTATTTCTTGTAATTAATATCATGTTCCTTTTTACATTCTTATATTGTCGAATTCTGCAGAATCGCACGCAACGGTGTCATTATTGCTAATAAATTATAAAATTAATACATTGTGATTGATGAATGAACTGAAAAGTCTTGTAATTGATTATGACGACTATTTATTTATGTATCAGCTTAAAATAATATATCACATTAATAATTAAATATATAGGAACAATTTTTTTAATTAGTTTAAAAAAAAATTAACTAATTTAAATACGTTCGTGAATTAAAAATTAATTATACCGAATTTATTAATTTTTCAATATGTGTTAAAAAATTAATTGGTAAATAATTTTTTCACATAATTATTTTAATAAAACTTTTCAATCATATATTATTGTTATCTATGAATCTTACGAAGCAACCGACCTATTATTTTTTAATCAATAAAACGGTCTTTGCAACACCTGAGTCATATGTTAGTACTTGTAAGGTGACAATATGTGGTTCAACTAGTTAAAAATAGTCAAACTTTCTTCGTCTCTACCTCATCCTGTCCACCCACACGTGGGCACTCCTTACTATCCTCTTCATTCTTTTTTTACACTTTGTCATTATCTTTTATCTCACTATGAATTCTGCCCTATTTCCTCTATTGCGATTACATTATTCTTCAACCCGACATATCCATTTATATTTAAATTATAATATAATATTAATCTATTCTTTTCCTTTACGTTCATTAGTCTGTGTAAGATTATTCATTTTGATATTTTTATACTCACGCTATTATTAATTAATTAAATAAAATAGCAATATTTTTAATGTTACATTTATGTAAAAAAATTCCTTATAATTAGATATTATATTATATTTTATAATATATATTTTATTCTTATTTCATAAGATAATTTTGTATTATATATAATTATAATATATTAACAAGTACATAAGATATATTCATTTATTTTTAATATTATTTTATTTATCTTAATAATCTTAAATTATCTATATTTTAAACTTGAGACAAAATAAATTACAACTATTTTTTCGTAAAATTCTAATTTTTAAAATTATTCCAAGATTTGTGACTGGATATATAACAAAATAATTGTATATTAGACGATATTTGTTTAAAAAAAAAAATTGCTAATATTTCATCAACCCAATGGTAATTATCGTACTCCTGACACCAATTGATAATCGTAATTTTTTCTAAGACAAAAAAAAACTAAACAACTACTGCTTATTGAATTAAGAAGGTAATATTCGCCAAAAATTTGACAAATATGTAGTTTAAATGAATATTCAACAGGATATAAATAAAATTACCAATTTACAATCTCGATAGAAGAAAATTATTAATCAGAAACTATAAATCCTTGTTGTAGGATAATAATGAATAATTTCAATTAATCCATCTTATTAATAGTTAATGTTTACCTATTCTTGGCGTTGAAAAATATTTTAT